TTAAGCTCAGGTTGGAGGCTTGTCTGGCAAGTGCCTTTGCCTACTGCATCTTGCTAACCCTAAGGAAGTGTTCCCTAACTCTCTGCATTTCCATATGTGAAGAGTGCTTATGTACATAAAAGTTATAAAATAAAACAGTCACAAAGAATTTTTTTGATATTTTAATTTTTTTAAAATTATTTGCAGTCAAATGTAAATATTTCTTTTTATGGGTATATATTAATCATGACTTCTTTTGCATATATTTTAAGTTCCAAGGAAAAGCAACTCTTTTGTTATATAATTCATATTTCCGTAAAATATCATCTATATAATTTTCTTATGAAAAGGATTAATTATCTCTTTAATTATGTATGTCATTTTTTTATAATAAAACTAAACCAGCTTGTAAAAGATTTTTTTGGTGTTAAACATTATAATAAGCCTACATTTAGAAATGCCTACTTTGCTTTTCTCAAACAAAGAACTTTTGCTCTTTTCTACCACCTAAAAATATTTTTTAAGCTGTGTATTACTTGGCTGAATAAGACTAAAAATATTATTTTCCAAGCTTACCTTTTTTATATCTTCAGCAATTTTCACTTTTATTTATTTCAATAATAATTTTATCTTGTCATAGAGATCTACTCAGTTCATTAAAAGATACATTTATTGGGGCTCAGGAAATGGCTCAGTGGTTGGGAGCACTGGCTGCTCATCCACAGGACCCAGGTTCAGTTCCCAGCACCCACGAGGAAGCTCACAACCACTTCTAATTACACTTTCAGGGGATTGGAAGCCCTCTTCTGGCCCCTACTGCACTAGGCACAAAAGTAGGGCACACACATAAATGCAGGCAAAATATTCATACAATTAGAATAAACATTTTTAAAAATTAAAGAAAAAATAAGCAAACATCTTTGCTGTCTACTCTACTTCTCCAGGATTGGGTATGTAACAGTGGCCCAACAAAACTTCGTGTCTGTATGGAATATACAGCCAGGTAGACAAGGGAATTGTAGCTTGTCATAAGTGGTGTTTTGTTTTGTTTTGTTTTGTTTTGTTTTGTTTTGTTTTGTTTTGTTTT